TCCTGGGTGCTAGGATTAAAGGTTTGAACCACCACACCTGGCCTATAAAAAAGTTTCAAAAAATCATTGGTGTGTATGTGGGTGTCAATGCACACATGCCGTACTATACATGCCATAGCACACATGTGGAGGTCAGAAGGCAATTCTTGGGAGTTTCTTTCTCCTTCCATGGTGGGTTCTGGAGATTGAACTCAGGCTTGCATGGCAAGTGTTTTATCCACTAAACCATCTTGCCATCCCTGAAAAAACTTTTTAAAAAAATTTATTTTTATTTTATGTGTATGAATGTATTGCCTGCATGTAGGTAGGTGCATCCATGTTGTGCAATGCCTGTGGAGGTCAGAAGAGGGTGTCTGATCCCTTGGATCTGGAGTTAAGGATGGTTGTTAGCCACTATGTGGGTGCTGGGAATTGAACCCGAGTCCTCTATAAGAACAGCCAATGCTCTTAACTGCTGAGCCATCTCTCTAGCCCTTGTTTGTTTTTGATACAGGGTCTCCCTGTAGCCCCAGCTGGCCTGTAACTAGCTATGTAGACCAGGCTGACCTTGAACTCAGAGATCCACCTGCCTCTGGCTCCTGAGTGCTGGGATTAAAGGCGTGTATCTCTGTGCCTGGCTGTTGCTGTTTTCAAAGGCCCTATGTAACCCCGGGCTGGTCCTGAACTTGCAATGTAGCTGAGGACGACCGTGAGCTACTGAACCCACCTTACCTGGTAAGATCACAGGTATATGTCACCTTCTCTAGATTTCACTGCTGATCTTCAACTGAAGAACACATTACACCCCAAAACTAGGAATTACTGCAGAAACTAAACTTTCAAGAGACAGTAGCATCCAATTACATTTTTGTGTTAAAATGACTCACTTGTGTATAGAGATTTAATTTTGCTGGTACTGGCAAAAATGTTCCTACTAAAGTCGTCATTGATTTAGGGACATCTGTAAGGAAACAATTAAAATTAATGATACACACATCAAAAAAGTGTGATGGATTATCACAGACTTTTATTCACTATGCTACCCATGGGTACCCTTGGCACAGTTTGGGAAGCTGGGTGCTAACATTTTTTAGCACAGTAGACTATCTCCAGGAAGCTCAGGCCAAGCAGATTTATGATAAAAAACAAGGCAGACAAGCCGGGCGTGGTGACTCACGCTTTTAATCCCAGCACTCGGGAGGCAGAGGCAGGCGGATCTCTGTGAGTTCAAGGACAGCCTGGTCTACATAGCAAGTTCCAGGACAGCTGCAGTTGTCTCAAAAAGACCAAAAGAAAAGAAAAAAAAAAGAAAAAAAAAAACCCAAAAAACAAACCACCAACGTATTTTTGTGTTTGGGTGCAATGCCCACTGAGGCCAGAAGGGGGTGCTGGATCCCCTGGAGCTGGAGTTACAGGAGATTGTGCGCCCCCTAGGTGGAACCAAACTTGAGCCCTCTGCAGGAAGCAGTAGGTGTTCTTAATCGCTGGGCCATCTCCCCAGCCCCTTGTTTTTAGACAGGGTCTCACAAAGGCTAGGCTGGCCTGGAATCCCAATTGCTGTGTAGTCAAAGTTGGCTTTGAGCTCCTGATCCTCTTGTCTCTACATCCTGAGTGCTGAGGTTACAGGTAACACCCAGTTTCCCAAACTGTGCCAAGGTGCCCTTGGGTGGCACAGCAAGTTCACCAGGACACCTTGGGGCACTTTGCATTCTCAATGGAAGCCCATGACAACTGTGGGACGCTGCATCTATACTTTCAATCTGGGTCTGCTTGTCTACCAATGGCTTAAGTTGCTAGTATATAGGTGTCTACTAAGCTCTTTGGACTAAGACACTTAAGAGTTTGGAACAAGGGCTCCAGTGTAGAAAATCCCTATAGACCTGGTGCCCCCTCATCCTCCTCCCTGCAGCCCTCCACTTTGCACCTGCTTCCTGCCCTTGGTGTCCCCATCCTTTCAGTGAGCAGTAACCCACAAGAGGGTTGGGCAGGGCTGTGAGTCCTCCACAGGGAAACCGAACAGGTTCTGTGGCTCTCGAGGGATTAAATTTAGGGATGAGAAAATCCACCTCTCAGACTGCTGAGTACCGCAGATGTATCTCTGACCAGAGGACACAGACCTGAGAACCCTAGGCTGGTTGGCAGCAGAGGGCTCCCCAAGTGTTAAGGCCCCAGCTTCAGCTTGAAGACACCTCTGTTCCTGGATAAGATCAAGGAGGATGGCTGACTGCAGCCCTCAACCTCACAATGGTTTGACACTGGAAGGTTGACTCTCTATCACAGTACCCTGAGCCCCTGTGGTCCACAGAGATACTCACTCCCAAGCCAAGGCCAGGTTGGACAGAAACAGGCCCTCTTTTTAATATTTTATTGTTTATGTATATGAGTGTATTGTCTGTATGAGTGTATTGTCTGCACGTGTGTACATGCACTCGTGTTGTGCAATGCCTGTGGAGGTGAGAAGAAGGCATCAGATCCCCTGGAACTAGAGTTCTGTATGGTTGTTTATGGTTATTAGCTGCCATGTGGGTGCTGGGAACTGAACCCAAGTCCTCTGCAAGAGCAGCCAGTGGTCGTAACTGCTCCCCAGTCCCAGACACAGGCCCTCTTAGGACCACAGCATTTAATCTTGCTTCAGTCACTCATCAGTATTTAAGGGAGATCAAGCCCAGTGGGGTAGTTTATTAATTCTCATGTTAGTGTGAGGCGTCTCTGGGTGAATGACCATCAGTGCCACTGGACAGCCATCCTGAAACTCACAATGGTTAAATCAGAGGAACCATCCTTACTGGTCACACTGAAGGGTTTCCATGAAAGCATCAATAATTTCAATCACAGCTCAACAGCCTAGCCTGAATCAGTCTGGGATGGACTGTTTAAGACAAGGCCGCTCTGTCCAGGCACTGAAGGGATGCAGCAGAGCCCTACTGGTATCACCTGTTAGAAGGCTCTACAGCGAGCCACCTGGAGGAAGCCAGTCACGAGGAGCGAGAGCTGCTTATTGCGATGTAGACAGATTAATCTATTGAGGCCTATCTTATTCCATTCTCTAACTGGCCCAGGCTTGCCTGAGCATCCACCTGATACCTAATAGTCTGTTCTATTCTCCGTGTGTGTGTGTGTGTGTGTGTGTGTGTGTGTGTGTGTGTGTGTGTACGTATATGTGTGCACTTGCATGTGGGGGCTAAAGGCCC